GAATGGGCTTTCAGAACAGCTGCACAACCAGTGCACCATAGGAGGGAATGGTCCCCATCTAGAGCAGTTAAGAAATCCATTATTCCACGACCAACTCCTTGATAGCGGGATTTGATGGGAGGGCACGGGCTCTCTTGCGCCACTAATTCACCACACAACATTGCATAAACCTTTTGCTCCTCCTAAACGTCTCCACAATTCTGAATGGTAAAGCAGATTGGGGCGCAACCCCCTTTTGTCTACCACCTTTTGTAAAGCCTACTTGCTGAAACATTAAGCAATCATTACCACAAATTTCAATGAAAAGTAACGACACTAAACCTGTCAGTTGAGGTGTCTGGTAATCGATACGCATTTTACATGGGTTTTATTAACACTGCTGACCTTGTTGAACTTCACGAGATACTCGAAATGCCGGCTTAATATCCGTTGCCAACACCATTTCAACCATTGCATGTCGAATAGCGGTGAACTCCTCACGAGATAGATTACCAAATATGTTCACCTGAACGGTACTGCTTACAGTACTGTGACTTCCTTACACTCCTAATCGCTCACATTATTGCTTTGTTGAAGAGTTAACTGAAAAGCTAAGGCGACGTGGTGATTCTCCAGCACTGAATGGTCATTGTACAGCACTGCAAGCGATTGCCGTGTGTTGATGAGGAACGCGTTGCCCCGACCTGAAACCGAAATTTGACTTCGTAAAAATGGAAGCCTCGATGAGACCATGTTTTTTGATTCCAGGCTTTACATCTGATGGCTGAGGACGCAAAATCAACTGTATTATGTGAACAATTGAAGCCCTATTTCGCTCTACCCTACGTCAAATCAAATATCTCAATTAGACTCATGTCCTTGGGGAGGGGGGGGGGGACATTCAAAACAGGCCGATGGTAGGTGAGACTAGGACTAAGCCCAGCAAAGGGGAGAAACGCCAGGGAGAACACAAATTGCTCACATGCTCCCCCAGGATCCCTTCCCTCCCTAGGGCTTAGTCCCAAGCACAGTAATTGGCTCACTCACTTGGATGTCCCGCCCCCCTCCCCCCCCCAAGAACATGAGCGCCCTTAATTATTTACCCTTTGCTCGCCAGAGGTCAAGTGCGAACTGACGTCAGATGGCCTTTTCTGCAGTTACGGAGAAAACACTAATTTGAAGTAAGCAAACGAACCCGGATGATCCAGATCGTGAACGGTGGCCGCGAGAAGAGCAGCGATTGCATGATTTTCTGTGATATGTCCAGCAACTGTGGGCGAGTCGAGGAAGTACGAGGTGGCCTAAATCGTCCGATCGATATATCGATTCTTAGGCCATTGACCGTAGGACACAGGAAGTGTACCTGGGAGCACATCTGCACGTAAGACACAGAATGTACAGCGTAGCGACAGTCTGCTGCATGTGTGGCGCCTTTTATGGTATGCCCGTTACCAGCCGTGGTATGGGCTTCTACGGCCTGAACAAGCCATCGGATGCAAGGATTATCCTCGTTACGCTCATCACCGCGAATTCAGCTAACTGGTCCATTCGGTTTCAAAAATCTGGTAAACATTCTTTTTCAGCAATTTCCCTACTCTGCGATTTGTTCCTCATTTTCTCCCTCCCTTCCACTTGGTTTTTATCAATCGCTCGTACGAACTATTCTGGGGCTTGCGAGAGATTACAGGTTTGTGCCGAGGTGCTTTATTCTCTACTTTCTGCCCTTTCTAGATGAGCCGAAGCGAAATAGAAGTCAAGATCTGGTCTAGGGAGTAATCTGGGGAGAGGCTTTCATACCTCTACCTCATAAAAGAGTTATTGCGTGGGTACTGATGGACTATAATCGGTAGTTTTTAAGAATACATGCACTCGATATCCGTACTGAATTATAAAGTTGTTTGGGCTCATATCTGGTCTATACTAATACATACAGTGCTCTGCCAAGGAGTGTTGGTCTCAACTAATTTCCCATTCTCACGAAAATTTTGCGCCGATAGACAGATCGGCATTATTTACCCTTTACTTATTTTATCTACCCCTTACTCTCCTTTGAAAAACCGAGCCAGATTCCAACCAACTTTGTCTATGACTATGGTCGGTTAAGAAGTTGCCACTCGGGAATGTTAACCCATAAAACACGAATATCACTTCGGTTTAGCAAGAAACCGCCTAGCGCCCGCGCCACAGGCGCCAGGCGCCGACACTTGTGGCGTCGGCTGCACAAGCTCAATAACTCGCAACAAACTGATGTGATATTCGTGTTCCATGGTTCAACCTAGCCGTAGGGACAAGCTTCCAAGCAAAATCCTGGTTATCCACAAACAAGGCGTTCTGGGCGCCTTTTGCGGCGCCTTTTATGGCGCTCGGACACGTTTCAAAGTGTCTGGCGTGCAAGATATTTTCCATGCCTAACAATATGAGATATTCGGGATGTTGCACGTGTCCAACTAATCCCCTGGCGCAACTTCTTTTAGCCAAATCTGAGCAATCACGAACAAACTTCGACAGAAATCCGGCCCTGATCCCGAGGATTTGGGACCAGGAAAGGGTAAATAGTGCCAGCAGATCTTGACGTGATGGAAAGCCTGCTCAATGTGGACGAAATGCTGTGCAATTCCTTCAACTTCCACAGACATGACACAAATATCGATGCAGAACGTCCACAGGGAAGTAACAAGGGAATTAGACGAGGTTGGCAGAATTGTGACTAAAAGTTAAAGAAATGGATATTTTGACTCTCTTCCGCGCTGGGGTTTGAGCGCAGCGGTCTGGGACGGATTCCGGCCGGCCAGTCACTGAGCGGTTTCGATGTCGCCCAGCATACCCCTCAATCGCTGACTGCACGGAACTCGCCTAGGAGCGCCCCGCCCGCAGCTACAGCGGGACGTCAACTTTTAATGAAACATGCTCCGAGAAAAAGCTTACCTTGATACCAAGCTGAACCAGTGCATGATTTTCGGTGACCTTCTCCAATTGCAGTATGTCGAACGTCCATTCTGTGTCGTTCTCGAGAGCGTTCTTTACGTCCGCGGACACTCTTCGTCGCTCTCCATGCGATCCTAAAATTGTTAGATATTCATATAATCCAAGACATAGGTGGCAATGGAACGGTAAATAAACGAAGCAGCCACGCTAGGTGAGAAGAAGGAATAAAGTTTTCAGAACTCATGAAAGCGACAACACGCTAACGTTAGATGAAAATGAGATTGGGGAGGGGGATGGGGGCATTCAGTGTGTTACGCGTCTCGAAAGCTAAGGATTAGGATAAGAGCGTTGATAACCTCAACAACAAGATGTAGAACAGATCACCGGTTCCTATCAAAAAAATACTCCAAATGCGTGTTATCGAAGCTCTTGTCCTCAGTGATAAAGAGATCATTAGTGCTAGAGGCAGACAGCACAATCACAGTGGTCCCCCTCAACATCATTTTCACCGATTTTAATTAACAATCTGGCGCAGAATTCAAGGTGCTCAGATAATCCTTTAGTGGGGGATTTTACGACGAAAAAGCAGCTCATTAGAAATAAGGGTAGAGGTGGTCAGTGGTACAGGATGAAGAAAAAACGAGAAATGGCCAGAACCCGAGAAATGGGACCCTTCTTGCCCGTTCGCATTGATGCGACTCTCATCGGTGCTGCCCTCTTCAACGCTAACGCTCTCTCTGCTGAACTGCTAGAGAAGGGAGCGTATGGCGCCGACGGTGCCGCGAGGAGGGTCATGCTAGATCGCCCGGGGCATAACCTTCATGAGAACTTCGTGACGGTCCGCACCCTTATGGGGCCCACCTATCTTTCCGCTATATAATTTACCCTTTCGACCTTCGACCTAGTAGTCGAACTCCCTCTATGTACTTTTCACAAGCTCGATTTCAACCCAGCATTTCAGGGTCATCAATGTAAAAGTAGTTTTATACAGTGACTACATGGTGGGGTCAAGCCAACACACATGTAAGGATTTTTATCAGTCCAGGTAAGTCCAGAACCATTCCACCGTGACCACAGAGATAGTAGGTCTCATCGACCTGGGCTGATTTAATGACATGATGTGGGGTGGTGCCTTTTGAGGATTGCCTCAGAAGCACTTGTCACGAAGGGTGGAGGGTGGTGCGATTTATGACATCGTTAAATTTTTGTGGTGAGAGGGGGTTAAGAGGTTAAGAAGAAGTTCCAACCGCACCCCTCAGCGGGCAAGAGATGTGGTCACCAGTGACTTTCGATGACATCATCGATACGACACTGCCCTCCAGTCATCGTAACCACTGCCTTAAAGACACGGGTCGGGAGCGAATTAGTGTATTACTTTGTCCGAAGATTGAACAAGAAGTGCGATGAGCAACGTTAGTAGTGAGAAAAAGCAAAAAAAACGCCATAGAAAAAGCTGAAATTTCCCTTGTGAGGTCGGCTTTGTACGACGGAGAGACAGCGCTGCGAGGAGAGGGAAAACGCGAGAGAGCACGTCGTACGCGAGAGGGCGCAGACGCCACGTATGCCGCGATTGATAAGGATGGCAGCGCGGCAGCGGACAAGCAAGGCCATAGCGCTCTCGCCACGTACTTTCGAGTCTAGGCGGTGTCTCGACTCGTGTGCTTGTTGACCCCTTTCGCAGTCAAGGAAGGTCTGCCTCTTGGCTATAATCCCGACCCGCGGTTTTAGACTCCGCTGGTTATTATTAGCCAGCGCCACAATACGAACATACAGAACTATAATGCACAAACTAATTATGTCTAGGTGGGTTTCTTGACATGTGATAAACTTCTATCAAACTTATGTCTAGTAGAACTTGATTACCTGATCAAGTCCTATTGGATATAAGAATGATAAGATTTATTCAAAACGTTTACCTCTTTTATCGCGGTAGGCATCGACGACGCTTCGCTTTCGCTGTCGGCTTGGATGATGAAGACGAATCAGTCCATCATAGTACTGCGTCGCAATACGATCACTATCACGAAAACGAGTAATTGATGGCGCGTAGAGTTCATGCGAAGACAGGACCTGTAATTTTACAAATGTTGTTGGGAGGGCAGTAGCTTATACTATAACTCAATCCACCTTCACGGCATCTTTAACCAATTGTGCCGGTTCGCCTTCGACCCGTCCAGCTGCATCCCGTAATAATGAAATAACCTGAAAAATTCCACCTTTATAGACATGCTTTTTCAAAACACGGACTTTCAAGTTTTGAACCCTTTATCACGAGTTTCATTTTCTAAATCAAAAGAATAATGACGCTGATTTCTTACGAGTTCATTGAAGTGATCTATAAAGGACGAAAAACAAGACTTTGAAAAATACGATTTCATGCTAGTCAAAAAGAAAGCTCTGCAAAAATATCCATGCAGATAATCATTTCAGAATAACCTGGCATAGAAGACTGAATTGAGGACAGCTATCTAAAACGGAACTTGGAAATCGGAACGATTTCACAAGGTACTGTGATTGTAGTAAAGAGATGGCACCGCACAGAGAAGACCATTATTGTTGAAAAAACACATAGAAATACGTTTTCCGAATGTCCTTCATTTAAAAGGGATGAAACTACAAACTTCCGATCGGCATTTATGTGCAGAGCACCGGAAATCGGGTTTGGAAAGTATTCCGTAGCACAGCTTGCCACGGCCCACACTTTTTTGATAACCGATGAACCCCACGTTACTTCTCTCTTTTTCAATCTCCCTGCTCTACATAACTTATGATCTGATGGTGAGCCTCAGCTCATAGTGCTCACTGTGTACCCTCAAATCTTATAGATAACATCGGTGTACCCTCAAATCTTATAGATAACAGCGGTCAGCCAAAACTGAAATCATAAAAAGAAACCGACTGCGACTGGTCCCATCCCAATTTCACAACCATACCCTAGGAATGATCTGAAGAAGCAGGCAGAGGTAAAAGGTTCTGCGACTATCAATTATTTCAGGATGCGCCATGAATTTGCCATCGGTCAAAGGTTGCAGAGCATTTTGGTGCCATTCAGACTTTAGAATGTCTCTTTGTACCTTTGGCCCTCTGACCTTAGAAGTATTTTTAGTTTCAGACTTGCACACTGTTAAGTTTACCCACCTCCATAAACAGAGAGCTTGGCTACCCCCGTAAAGAATTCGATTCTACAAGTCAAGAATAAGCGGTCTGCCGCTTCAACCATTGACCTATTAATCTCATTCCCTCAGGAGGTGTCAACGGAACACAATTCAAATGGTGACCACTTTCCGGGAGCTGGGAAACGTTGCAAAACAGAAATTTGCAAAGTGGAAATATCGCGGACTTAGAGAACCCTAGCCCTAAAAGTCAAGCGACCAAGTATGTCGACCATTCGACAGTTTTGTAAACTTTCGTCGTTGGAATTTTCCGTACTTGATCGGTACAGCTCATGCTACCTTGATTACCGTATCACCCAGTATTACTCCTCATACATACATTTACAAGAAAAAGCTCACGGCATACATGACATTAGCCTCTACATGCTAATTTGACGTGACTTTTACGAGAACCACAAAAAGTGGCGTCGGACAACTGACAAGCTAATTGCTTCCGGAAAAAAGGACTACTTGACATACATACGTGTGGCAGTTGTCCGACTACTATGTCTGTGACGACCACCGTTACCTAAACTTTCAGGGAGTCAGCGAAACGCCATTCAAGAGAGCTTTGTTGATCAGTTCTCAACTGACACACTGACTCTCTTACTTTTGCTTCATTGATTTCAGCAACCTCCCCCGTCCCGGCCTCCCCTCTCCGTCCCTCTGCATAGCGCAGAATTGAATATCTAATCAAATGAGGTGTTGACAAGGGAATTCTGAGCACTATTAGCCTGACTGCGTATAAACAACGCGAATCAATCAAATCGGAAGAGCTTTAGGGAAGCCGGGAACGAATTTTTGCAACTGATACAAGATCAGTACGAACTTGTGAAGGTTCCTAAAGAAGCGCTATCTTACTCAAGGGAAAACCTTAATCGTCGACCTTTTTTAGAGTTAGCACTGTGAAGACGAACAAATGCAATTTCTCTATGACATCACCGCAAGCCGAACATAATTGCGACCTTAGAAAAAACTGAAAAACTCGTGCAGATGCAGACAAACTCAGGAAAGTGACTAGTGATGACGGTAGTTAGAAAAAGTTCATAACTATAATTGATGAGAAATGAGATAAGTGATAAAGTGGTGCTTCTAGCGAACATAATGGACGGAGGGCAAGTGTTCATGAAGACTTTGTGAAACTCTTTACCCTAAATGGTTGGGAGTGTCTTAGCACAGGTATTGCGACGCCTGATGAAGCGCGAGGAAGCATCACAGAAGCTGACAGGATTCTTATTTCAGGAAACTATGGAGTTGTTGCTTAAAAATGTATGAAAGGGACGGCACTCGCTTGAAGGGCACTCAACCCTGAGGGAAGTGGGCGGAGTTTGAAAAAATTTAAAAGCGAAATTCAGCAAAGACACCCAAATCAGAAGTTTGGGACGAGCTCATTGGAAAAACAAGAGAAGCTTATACAAAACAAATGAGCGAGATGTGTTAGAGGTCGAAGAGTGGTGTTTACAAACTTCACTGAGGCTATCCAACTTGAGCGTTTCAAACGGCAGGATATATGCGATGCGTTGGGACTGCTTTAAAGGAGGAATTCCCGATAATAAGGTGAAGGTCGTAGAAAGGGAAAATTGCCTAGTGGAGAGACAGGTGGACCTTCTGAAGG